TTGACCGGCTTGGCATCTGACCTTACATGAAGTTTGTGCTCGGCGAGATCCGTCGGGACACCCGGCATGTCTTTGGGGGACCATGCAAAGATGTATCGATTCTCACAGAGGAAATCGACGAGTTCGCCTTCCTATTTGCTGTCAAGGCCAGTTCCCATGACAACAAACCTTTCCGGGTGCTCCGGGTCCAGGGGGATCCACTTGGTATCTTTGGCCGGTTGGATGGAGGCCCCTGCTTCCGCCTCCTTGGGATCAGTCGGCATGGACGGCTTCTCGCTATCCATGGCTACCATCCGATCAAGGAGCCGTCTTTCTTGAGCGATGACGAGGGACTCAGCCAGCCGGCTGCAGCACAATCTTGTGACTTCTTGTAATCTCCGGCAATGGTGATGATGCCCTTGGTGCCTGGCATCTTGGCCTTCATGTATGCATAGTGCGGGACCATCATGAACTTGGTCAGTGCAGGGCGGCCCAAGAGTGCATGGTAGGGGCTTTCCAGATCAACCACCTCGAACCAGATAGGCTCGCGGCGGAAGTGATCCTTGTCGCCGAAGAGGACGTCGATTTTTATCTTGCCAATTGGGGAGCAGGACAGGCCGGGGACTATGCCATGGAAGACAGTCCGGTTTGGCTAAAGCTGCTTGGCCTTGATATCCAGCCGCTCCATGGTCTCGCGGTACAGGATGTTGATGCTGCCATCTATCAAAACTCGGCCGAAACGGCAGTTTCGCCTCTCCATTGCAAAGGTTGTATCGAGCACCAGGGCATATGAACCCGGGTTGGGCATCACAGCTGGGTGGACAACTTGGCTTCAAGTAATGGGCCTCTCCGACCAATGCATGCAGGAGGGGGATTTTGTGCTGACAGCATTGACCTCTCGGTGCTGCTGCCACCTGCTGTGCCTATCGCCGGCTTCGCTTGTGAAGACGACGTAGGCGGCGTGCTCTTCAGGGAACTCGTCTTGAATGGCGCCGACTGGTCGGGCTGCCGGCTGTTGAGCGGCTAGAGCTGGAGGGCCAGCTTGCGGGGGAGGCGGGAGGGCCTCGCCCTTGGCGATCCGAGCTAGCCAGTTGCACTTCCGAGTGGTGTGATTGGATGGCTTCGCGTCGCTGTGGAACTTTCACGGGGCGTCAAGGGCTTGCTCAAAGGAGAGGGCGGTCAGCCATGCTCCCTTGCTAGTTTTCTGCCTCTTGGTGGTGGGTTGACCAGTCGGCTGCTGATCTTCGACTGCTGCTACCTGCCGGTTGCCAGAAGCTGGCTGTTGGGCCTTGCGCTTGTTGTCGTTTTGCTGGCGTCGGTTGGTGTCACCAGCCGACGTTTGGGAGGCCGGGGGTAGCACCTTCCCAGACGCGTCCACTCGAAGCTCCGACTTCATGGAGGAGTCGGCCATGGCGTACTTGTCCGCTATGATCAGCAGCTCGTCAAGGGTGGGTGGGTCATCGTAGAGAAGCTTGTGCTTAAGCAAGGTGCCCTCTCGGCACCCGACCGTGAAGTACTCTATTGCCTGCACCTCATGCACCGCGTTAAGTAATCGCGGATGGACTCAATCGGGCCTTGGATGCACATGGAGAGCTGGTGAGGCTTGGGCGGCCGCTTGTACGTGCCGGTGAAGTTGCGGATGAATACTTCAGTGAAATCCAGCCAGCTGTTGATGCTGTATGGCTTGAGGCTGTTCAGCCAGGTCCGGGTCGTGCCTTGGAGCATGAGTGGGACGTATTTCATGGCAACGCGCCTGTTGCCGCTTGCTATGTTGACTGTGGTGGAGTAGTCCACCAGGCAATCCTCCGGCTTCACGGAGCCGTTGTACTTGGGCGTGTCTGATGGGAGCGAGAACCCTTTGGGAAAGGGCTCGTCGCGTATGCGGGGGCCGAAACAAGGCGGGCCGACTGCATCCTCTTCTTCTATCGCTAGGGATCGAGCAAGTCGGTCGATCCGGTGGCGGGCATCATTCTCTCCGATTCCTTCTCGGTGACCCAGCCGGTCTCCCAGACTCGGATGCTCAACAGGCGGCGGGGAGGCGCGCCACTCCCTGCGTGGGGGAGGCGGGCAGTTGTTGCGTCGTTCCACTACTCTTGGGCAGCCGTCTTGGTCGCGCTCGATCGTGAGGTGCGTGCGCCGACTGCGCCTAGCAGCCGGCTCCGGGTCCCCTCGGCCGTGAGTGACGCCTGTCGGGGACCGAGAGGTCGCGCCGTGCTCTCGGCGAGGGTGTTGGTTCTCATCTTGCACGCCGGGTTCCATCACGCGGCGGCCGGCTTCCTGCTGCATGGCAGCCGTGTCGAGGAGCCGATGGAGGCGCTCCGTCATGCAGCGCTTCTCATCGCCCTCTAGGTTGTCCAGTTCTTCCGCCGCCGCCTGGGCGGCACGTAGGTTCTCCATGGGGGTAGCATAGACCGGGCGGTCGCCTCCCAACATGCCGGCGATGGTGGCGCCGCGATGGCGGGCTGCACCCAGTCGGCTGGGCTCTCCAGCAGTCAGAGTGCCGCCTACGGCGCGGTCGATCTCGCGCTGGTAGGCGTCAGTAAGGCGCCTCGCAGCGGCCAACTGGTTGGCGCTGTCGATGAGCGAGAGGCGGTGTGCCTCCAGCTTCGCGCTATCCGCGCCATCCTCAACTGGAGTGGCGAGGGCTCGCAGGGCTGCCCAGATCGAATCCCGATCTGCTTCGGCAGAGCCTCCGCCCAAACTAGTGACTAGCACCTTTGTGATGGTGCTGGCGCTGGTGATGCTATCCGCGCGAGGGAGCGGGTCGTCGATGATCTCTACGTGGTCGGGGTAGGCATCAACATCTGCCGCGTTGGAGTCAATGATCATCTCGACGGGCGGATCGATGGAGCCGATGGACTCTAGGTCGGAGGCGAGCTCGTCGGCGATGTGGAGCTTGCCAAGGAGGTCGACGAGGCAGCTCTCGGAGCTGGCCAAACCCACGTCGGGGGCGGGCTCGTCGGTGAGATGGACCCCCGCTGTCGGTGAGATCGTTGAGGAGATCGGCAAGGGAGCTTGCGGCGCATGCGGCCTCCACGTCGCTCAAAGCATCGACGCAAGCGCCATCAGGCGAGCTAGGCTGGCTGCGCTCACGGGGAAGGAAACATGTTCCCTCCAGAATGTGTCTCCGGCCAACGGTGCGCCTTGCCCCACGGTGGGCGCCAAATGTCGTGGTATTTCCTCGACATATGCCAATGGGTGGCTAATCATGTAGGGGGTCAATAGAACGTTGCCGGCATCTAGAAGCGGGAGTAGCCAAGACCTCAACGACGCCGAGTCTTACCCAGGTTTGGGGCTCTCCGTGGAGATAACACCCCTAATCCTGCTCTGCGGGGTCTCCGCATCACTATGATCAACAGCGGGGGTACAAGATGGCTCCTTGAGCTGTTCGGGCTAGAGGAGGAAGAAAGGCAAGCTAGCTCTACTTCTCCCTAGCTATGTGGGTGTAAGGTGATCTAAGGGCTGAACCCTTTGCATGGGTGACCCTGAGGGGTTTATATATGCCTACCCTTAGGGGTACAATGGTAATCTGGCTAGTCGTAGGACCCGACCGTCAGTGTCTCTAGGCTCTGGCTTCTCCGCCGACAGCTGGGGCCTGCCGCCTGGTGGGCCCCACCGACTGTCGTGATCTCGGCAGACAGGTAGGGCCCGCCGCCTGCGGGCCAGGAGGACTAGGCCGCACTGTAGCCTTGCCCCTAATGACGATAGCTTGGTCGGGGGGGCGCATGACTACAGTACCGCTGCCTGGCGGGCGATCACTGTAGCCACACCTCGTCACTTCTGGTTAATGGTGCACAGACTCCGAGGGAAGGGACGGCCGCCTGCTAGGAGGCGGCCTCCCCTTGTGGCCGCCTGCTTTGTGCTCGCCGTCTTTTGGTGATACACGACAAGTGGGGCCCGCCGCCTGCGGGCCACACCGACCGCCCGTCGTGGGGGTATGGCCCTGCCTGACGTAGGCACCGTCGTGGGCCGCGTGGCTACAGTGTCGTGTCAGTTGAGGGGTGTCCGCCTGGTACGCCCGCACTGTGGCCACGTTCCTTCCGGGATTCGGGGGTGACAGGTGGCACTGTTGCCACGCCCTATCTTGTCGTAGTAGGTGGGTGCAAACTTTGAGGAGGCGAGGGGCCGCCTGGCAGGAGTCGGCCCATGCCCTCGCCGCCTTCTGGGGTGCGCCACCTTCTGGGAGGCAGCCCGTGGGTGCCAACCGACCGTGAAGGCCGGCCTTGCGATCAGTCGGACCGAGGGGCTTGATCAGTCCCAATGTCTTGAAATCTGCTGGGGTGTGGATGAGGCTACCCAGGGTTTATCCCCCTGTCAACACCCTTTACGGTGGATGTTACGGCTCAATCGCAGGATTGTGGTGCAGCGATGGACCGGCAAAGCTCTGACTACCATGTTGTTACGACCCTGTGAGAGATCGAACAAGAAGGGGAAGGAGATCAAGGAGAAGGGGATGAGATCAAGAGGTAGGAGAAGGGGTAGGTGAGAAGAGAGTTCAGGATGAGAAGGGATCTAAATTATCTCAAATGACAACATGCCTACACTGCCATCACGGCTACACCTTTAACGCCACAGCCTTGCTTAGGCCCACACGTCATACTCACACATCCTAGTGACGACTATTCCACTGGCTCCTCCTGTGGGTCCAGTTCTTCTTCTCCTCCAAGTTCTTGTTGCTGCACTTGTGCCTCTCTGTCCGCTTCTGCTTCAGTCCGGGGCGTGACTGAGGGCGTGAGACTATATTGGTTTGTGGTACTGATGACAAAAAATCCACCACACACTCCAGCTGACAAACAACTGCATTCTCATTAACAAATGGTACCGTAAATCACAAAGGAATGTTCTGTGTTCTCGGATAAATGGAGGTATCACCCTTTGGTCACAACATTAGCTAGACATTCAGCAAAAAAGTGATCACAGTAGGAATAAACCTCTAAAGTATCATCTGGCGAACATCAATGCTCATCAGCGAACCCCACGCGACATAAAAATTGTGTTGCTTCTGTTCTGTGGCAAGAACTCTATTTGGCAGCGCGTATAACAGTTCCAAGCCAATCATCCGAGCTTGTGTTCACATCCCCCTTCAAGGCTCTCAGGGAGTGCTCTGTATCAACCTGCATCACAAAACAACTTTTTAACAAAAACCGTACTGTCACATTATGAATTTAGTTTTCCTTTAAGTTATGTTTTACGGTATAAGCAGAGGAAATATGCACACCTTTGTAATGTACACATCAACTCCAAGCCTAGCTATCACGGCAGCTTCAAGTATTTTGGTCTCCATTCCTCCAGTGGTGTCGTGTGCGGCTACTGATATCTCCACTGCAGTGAATAGCTGGACATCTTAGGCTTACACAAGCGATGGTAGTTTACAAGCAGGACATCTGGATCACGAATTTAGTCTGTTATCATTCCAATAAAC